GGGGGGGGGGGGGGGGGGGGGGGGGGGGTGCTTAATGACATTTTTGCTGCTTATGGGGGCTGCGAGTGGGGAAAAAGTAACAAATCCAGGGGTGGTTGTACTAGGGCAGGACAAGGTGATGGAAACAACTGGCAAGACATTAACCAGCCTTTATTCATCAAGGGATGAAGGAGGTGGAAATCTGCTGTGTCTTCCATCTTCTAGAACTTTCTGTAAAATTTAGCGATGTACACTGGGTGCTGTAAGGAAGCCTCATATGCCGTATTTGTCATTGCACGACCCGGAAGAGCTGTCATCATACACAATAGCTTCCATAAGATAGCTGCCTTTTCCATTACAGGTTCTTCACATTGGTGGTTGAAGTCATCCTTGGGCTGCCTCCATAAGCCTGTCAGGATATGAGAGATCAATGTACCTTTTTTCCAATGCTCATAGGCGAGGTTTTGTGCTCCTTACAACAGGATATGTCTTTGGACATCGACCTTGGATTCAGGCGGCTCCCAATCGATAGCCTCACCATAAATCCCACCTTTGTGACACTTCTGATGTATAGTTTTTGTTGAGCCTGGTCACAGAGGGGTTGAATCGGTTGTTTTGATATTTAGAATCCACCCTATCATCCTTATCCAGCTGTCTCTCCCTGTTACTTGCCTTTAGCTTGTTCCCATCATCTCTGCTGATTTCTCCATGCCTAGCCAGTGCTAATTGGGTTAAATGACGTTGTGTTTTCTGTAACTGATGCACCTGCAATTCTGGAGTCTTTAAACTCTGACGGTTAACTCATCACTTTCAGAAATTGCACGTCAAAGTGCTGATTGACATGCAATGCTAATTAGCTTTAGCCTGGTATGACTTTCTTTTGTAGGTGCATTTGTAATTGTGATTTAGCTCCTCCAAAGTCCTCCTTCCTGTGGTCTATTGCGCTGGTGGCCTTTCAGGTCCAGCACATTTCAGAGGCTGGTTTCAGCATTTGTAAGATGTTTTGCTGTAGGCCAGTGAGAATGAACTGGTCACTGTAATACACATAATCTGAGTGGACTTGGTAACAGTAGTTACCATAACATCTGTAGTTTGTTGCGAGAGCAGTTACACCAATGCTATGGTCCTTTAATGGTGGTGGACATCTTCATCTATGTTCACACACAGAGGTGGAATGTTCAGGTGCAGAACGTACAAATCCAGGCCAAGATTTTGTTTCAACTAACCAGTACTCTGTGAATGTTGACTCTTTATATGCAGCTGGTTTGTTGAAACAATATCTTGGTCTGAATTTGTACTTTCTGAACCTGAACTATCCACCTCTGGAACACTATGGAGTGTCCTTTTCTAGGAGTAGTCAAAGTGTGACGTCAAATGTTTCTTTTTCCCTCCATAAGTGTGGAATCTGCATGTGTCCCATCTCGGTGTTCGAGGACCCTGTGGATATGTCATGTAGCCATGAGTTCTGCCGAGCATGCTGGGAAGGGTGAGTTCTGAATGTTTTTTTTTTTTCCCCTCTCTCCAATACCATAAGATCAATGCTCTCTCCAATAGCATATTAGATATACCTAGTATATATAACTAATAGCAAGACCTTCAAAAATAGCCATTTTTGTGAATAGTGTTACATCTACTGGACACGTGAATCCGCCTCATCCTTCTGCCAGGTTCTTGAACTTGAAGATCCAGGAGGGGGAGGCACACAACATCTTCTGTCCGGCCCATGACTGTTTCCAGCTGGTCCCTGTGGAGGTCATCGAAAGCGTGGTGTCCCGGGAGATGGATAAGCGCTACCTGCAGTTTGACATTAAGGTAGAGCCACCAGTGGCCTGCAGTTTGACATTAAGGTAGAGCCACCAGTGGCCTGCAGTTTGACATTAAGGTAGAGCCACCAGTGGCCTGCAGTTTGACATTAAGGTAGAGCCACCAGTGACCTGCAGTTTGACATTAAGGGTAGAGCCACCAGTGGTCTGCAGTGAGCCTAGACTCCCTGTGTGGGGTCCGACGGCAGCCGTCGTGCAAAAGCCCTGGATGTTGGTCAAAGAGCATCATAAACAACACTGATGAACGTTCATCTCCGTCTGGTTCCATCTGAAGCCCTCCCTTTGTCATACAGGATTACTGCAGACTTCCTAAGGCAGCGTTGACCTCAATTAATCTTGTACAATTACCTCATGATTTCCCCGAGAGTTTAATTGCTTGAGTCTGCTCCAGGTCTGCACCTGATTATCATACCCAATCATCTCTGTTAACCTCATACCGTTAGCACAAATTGCCATGTCTGAGATAACGAGCTCGCATTAGAAGCCTCTCTTGCATGCTGTGTATCTCTCACCTGGCATCTTTGAGTTCGCGGAACCGCTCCTCTTCTTCTGGGTCACCTTACAGAAACGGCGCTGTTATCCGTTCAGACATCAGTCAGAGATGGCTAGTTATCAGGGGTCTCTATCTGATTAGCACAGGTTGTGTTTCTGTTTTGGGGGCCGGAGAGAAATCAGCATTACGCTGACGATGAGGATCGTGATGAATGACAGTTCTCCAGTTCTACCTGAGGCCATCTTTCTTTATGTTGTCATGGTGATGTGGCATGTTAGTTCATGCCGGAGCCCTGACGTGAATACTTCGGCATGAAATGTAACCTTAAAGTCATTTGAAGCTAATATAGAAAGTCGCGGTATTTTTGCCGGTTGGCTTTTTCGTGAAATGGTTGTAGACTCTTGCCCCAGGGAAGCCAATCAGCACACGTGTGCTCAGAACACCTGTGACACGATTAACTAAGCACTTCATCTATTTATACATTTGTTTTTAAGACGCATTGAACTTCAGCTGCATTTCCCATCAGGCGTTTGTAGAGAACAACCCCGCCATTAAGTGGTGCCCCACAGCTGGGTGTGAGAGAGCTGTTCGCCTCAACCGACTGGGTCCTGGAGCCGCCGCCTCAGACCCACTCAGCTTCCCTCTGCTCCGAGCTCCTGCCGTTGACTGTGGGAAAGGCCATGTCTTCTGCTGGTGAGTCTCTAGTGCTGTTCCAAGGAAGCTTTTAACTAGGGGGGGTCACCCTTTTATTTATATTTTTGGACCTAAAATGGATCAGCATTTCTATTTAATACACCCCTTGATGTATGTGAAAATGGAGCCAAAAGTAAGTGGGCACTCTTATTAATTAGATGAAGTTCCTAACTACACGACACACACATTGCCGAACACAGCTGTGTGCTTAAGCACGCAATCTCCTGCATTAGTAACGGAATGGGTGGTTGTACTGTATCCACTTGGCACCATCGCAGGATCCCATTCTTCCGACAAGTCAGTTACCGTAGCAAGGGATCTGGTCACCCAGCGTCAATACTCACCCTGAATGGCAGCAAGTCCCACCAGCAATGTTCCAGCTCCTAATGTCAAGCCTTCCCAGAAGAGTAGGGTGCTGGTGTCCACATACTTTTAGATATATCTAGTGTACATTGCAGGAAGGGAAACTCACCACTGGAGGGCCTAGTTTCGTTATGGTGCAAGCTCCACATCTATAAATTCTGTGGTGTGGCCTACTTAACATGGTATGGGGTTTTTTTTTTTTTTTTTTTTTGCTTTTCTCCCCCTTTCCCCTGGGGTTGTGTTGCATTCTGGGAGCTGGAGTGTGTCAAAGTAACTCCCAGGTGCATTTTGTCACACGGGACACCGACTGCGTGTCCATATGTGCATGTGTTCCCTCTGCTTTCTGACTGAGGGCCAGGCTTTTCCCAGAGCTTTGACATTTTTAATCTCCCCTCACCTTTTGCGCCTGTTCTGAGCACGCCCAAAGGTGCTGACCCACTTTTCGGGTCGACCTCCCCTCCGGGTGCTTAGCACGGCGCTAGCTTTAGCAGCTCGAAGACGGCCATGTTCCCATGTTCATAGAAATCCTGGATGAACCCTGATAATAGGGGATGTGAAACGCGGGGTGATGTGAGCCCGCTTGCCGGTGCCCCGATGGGGAGGATGTTCAGTCGCCTGCCCGCCAGGGCTGAGCACGGCCGCTGAGCACGCCTGTGTCTTCCCGCAGGGAGTGTCTCGGGGAGGCTCACGAACCGTGTGACTGCCAGACTTGGAACATGTGGCTCCAGAAGGTGTCCGAGATGAAACCGGAAGAACGTGAGGAGAAGCACCGGCCGGGGCTCACGCGGGTGGGAGGGAGGGAGGGAGGGAGGTTGCTGATTGGCCGCACGAGCGATTGGCGCTCTTCAGCCCCAATGAAACGAGCACATTGCTGAATTACTTTGAGTGCCTTATAAAGCCATGTGTTTCACCAGAGCGATCAAAGGTAAGGCAGCCATCCATATACCAAACACACGGTGCTGCCTCTAATATTGACTTTAGCATCGAATTTGCTGTAAAGAATGATTGTTTTATTAATGACATTTCACATTTAAGAGTTGTAATATATTTGGAATGTAGATTTTTAATTTGTTAAAAAAAAGCAAGCACTACCCTCATGTGACCATGCAAACATACTGGGTTTAGCATAATTGTTTTGCCGCCTTAGGGCTCAGGAACATAGTTGGATGGTGTCACCCAAAAGGGCCGGATGATACTTCTGTGTTGAGCCTACGCCGTAACCTGTGCAAGTAGCCTGTGCCGTTGCGAGCATTTGTACTTGCGCGTTGGTGTGTCTGTGTCGCTCTGCAATTACCCAGCCAAAAGGCTAGGTGATGCATAGTTTTGAATGTTGCATTTTTCTTCCCACTCTGCGATATATTTGTTTGTTGAATCACGCAGTTGAAACTGGGGAAAAAAAAACAACCATCTAAATGAAGTATCCATTTGTCGAGTCCTGCTGCTGCTGCAAACTTCCTCTAGACAAATTTGGAAAAACGTCGAGCTGCTACGAATTCACTTTTATGCACTTTCCTTTCTAAAGGTGGTGTCTAGATACTATTTTTACTTTTTGTTTTTTAAGTCTCTTAAAGTACAAATAGGCTTAACGAAGGTAAACGAAAAATGGCACTGCATCCTGAGTATTCTGTAGGCATGTTGCTACAATGCCTTGGGCGGGTTATTTAATGCTAGATATAAATAGCGCTTCTGTTTCTATCAGCGATATAAGTACACCGGGGATGTACGCTTTCTTCGTTCCCAAAAAGAAAAAGAATGCTACCAAGTGGACCAATCACAGTTCTTGTGATCTGCGTCACCACGACATGTAATTACCTTTCTGGGGAGCTGCATGTCAGGCATAGGTCCATGGCTACACCGTACTTACGGCGTCGATTCTACGCAGAAGTATCAACCCAGCCTTGAGGGTGAAAATGAGTAGATGGAGCTTCAGTCTGGCAGTCTTTGTATTTTCATAATGACTGCTGCATATATTGTGTGTTTGCTCAGAGGTGGAAAGCTCAGGTTCAGAAAGTACAAATCTAGCCCAGGATTTTGTTTCAATCAACTGAGTATAAAGAGTTTCAATCAACCAGTTGAGCATTCTGTGAATGTAACTCTTTATACTCAGTTGATTGAAACAGAATCCTGGGCTTGGTTTGTACATTCTGAACCTGAACTTTCCATCCTCTGTGTATGATTATGGCTAATATCATATGTCAGATTTATTAACATTCCTCTGTAGGTCAGGCAAGTATAACTCATAGATTCGATAATGTACCGTAGGTCGTCTTTCCAGCAGTCGAACAGAAATGAGTACAGTGTGTTTGCACAGATCAGTTTCCTCACCTGGGAGATGAAGTGATGCTCGAGTGTGTGTGGCCGTCCTGTTAAGCAGGACGTGATCTCGTAGATGCGACCTGTCACTCTGCTCGCGTTAAACCTGGTGGGGGTGGGGCAGGGTGGGAGGTCCCGGCTCACAGTCTCGTGCCGTTCCTTCCGGAAAGTGGCCGGCGTGAGCGAGGCCTACGAGGACGCTGCCAACTGCCTGTGGCTGCTCACCAACTCCAAGCCGTGTGCCAACTGCAAGTCGCCCATCCAGAAGAACGAGGGCTGCAACCACATGCAGTGTGCCAAGGTAGGCTTGGTTTGCAGTGCGGCCACCTGGTGTCACCATGTCTAATTATAACACGCCACTGTGGGGGGGCAGCTGCCGGATGAGGGCGGCGCCAGCCTGGTCACTTCTTGGTAACACGGGCAGTAATGGCACTGTGGGCTTCTTCAGTGTAGATGATGACTGGGATAACTGGGTATTAGGTGAGCGAAAGAGACCGAGCTTTGTGGTATTGAAGTCCATGTGTCCGTGCAAATGAAGCTCATTTAAATGCGGATCATTATGTGGCTCGGCAGGTTGTGCTTGTCATCAGAAGGTCATCGGTTCGAATCCCTGAGCTTGCAGGGTGATTTCACCATTGGGGCTCTTGCACAAGGCCTTTAACCTCCAGTTACTCCAGGCACTGTCTAACCTTGCTTTCTCAATAATGTACGTCACTTGGAATGAAAGCGTTTGCTAAATTAATAAGTTTAAGCACTTTGCTTCACAAAGCCCTCATCAAGATGCGCGCGTCTATTCCCGGTAAATCCCAAGGAGTAGATCTCGTTAGGTGGGGCTGTGACTGCATCCATATCGGTTACACGAAGCACGTGACTGACAGAAGCTCGCTTTCCTTTCCCGAGAGTCCTTCTGCAGCCGGGAGGTTCCTTGATGCCTTAATCACCTGCTCGGTACAGTAAATAATGTTGGCTGAGGCTGTGGCAAGTCCATTTACAAGATGGGAGGGTTAATGGAAGAGGTGAGGGAGCTCTTGATTTGACATTATCCATTTAAGGGGGAATGTTTTTCGCTTTGCAAGCGTCGGTCTGTAGGATTTATGGATGCTGGATCATATTAGTGGTTTGAGCTCAGGGACAGGCAAGAGGTAATGGGTTATGATGACGGGGTGGGTCACCTGCAAGACTCCCGTCTTCCTGCGTTCTGGTTGTTTCAGTGCATCTGTGAAGGAGAACTTCCCCTAGCAGATGAAGAGACTAGCTTGACTTGCCATAGTTGCAGTTCACTGACCGCAAACACGACCGGCACACTGAACAGACGCCCTCCGCGAAGCGCGTCCACACGGCACCTTGTCGGGTCCGAGCCTGGACCGCCGCTCTCTGTGAAGGTAGCGTGTGGTTTTTTGCATGTTGATGCCCCTTTGGGTCATGAAACGCCCATTTAATAATGTGGCCAAGACACGGTGCTGCCTCTAAATGCGAGGACGGTCTGCCCGGGCCGCCCTTGCTCCAAGCCCTGAGTCATGCCGCCTTTCATTTGTTCTCCCCAGCAGAGCGGTACTGTTTTATCTTGTGCTCCCATTGCCAGGTTGTATTTCTGAGCTGCGGCGGTCAGGCCTTAGCTTTTAAGCCCGGCTGTGAAGGAGAGCTGGCCTCTCTGCGTGCGGCGTGCGGGACGCTCCTCACGCAGGGGGAGGCTGTGCGTGCCTTTTGGGGCATTTAATGGGCCCTGGGTCCATCTGCTGTCATTGCTGCCGTACCTCCCTCACCAACCCTTAATTCTCCTCCTCTCCGAATGCGGCTGCCTCTCCGAGCGTCCTGATGATCAGACTCCCTTCCCTGTCCCCGATTTGGCGGCTCCCCGAGTGTGGCCGTACAGCCAGGTGTGGCGTCGCTCACCGGCACCACCGTCCATCATCTCCAGTTCTGGATCCTGAATGGGCCAAATTTCACTGACTCAAACCAATGATGGATACAGGAATAGCCTCTCGAGGTTCTTATGAGGTTGTTAACTTTATAACCATCATTACTGATCTCGGGCAGGAAAGGTGGGACACGTTGCTTATTCTTGCAGGCGTCTGTGTTACTCTTGGCCTCTAACAAGGTTAAATATCTGCCTCCGGTGGTTGACATGAATGTGTGAGTGTGTCTGTCGATTACTGAGGTACTATACAGCTTGAAAGGTCGTTGGTGTCGTCAGTGTCACCTAAACAAAAGTATTTCACTTGGATGCAAAAGACACAGTGTGATGGAGGTGGGTCTGATTATTCCAAATTAGGTTATCAAGAGTTGAGAGTTTTTAAATCTGATTTCCGGGGGACTGTCTGCCTTATTACCTCCAGTGTTGTATTTCATTTCCCTTTCAAAGAATAGGCTTAGAATTGATCTGTAGTCCCGGTTGGGATCGAGCCCTGAGGCGTGTGTCGGGCCGCGGCCCCGCCCCCCTCTGACCACCCCCCCCCCCCCCCCCCTCTTTCCCGGCAGTGCAAGTATGACTTCTGCTGGATCTGCCTGGAAGAATGGAAAAAGCACAGCTCATCCACAGGGGGGTACTATCGCTGTACGCGCTATGAGGTCATCCAACAGGTGGAGGAACAGTCCAAGGAGATGACGGTGGAGGTGCGGCAGTCTGCGTGCATGGCTCACGTCAGCACACACACACACACACGCACGCACACACACATACAGTACCTATGTATCATCCTCTTGCCAGTATTTATAGAGTGCTTCTGTGTGTAGTTGAATGCCAGTTTTGCTGTGCCTGCCTATATTTAGATCATTGTTCCTGCATTTACCTTTCACCTTGTTTCCAGAAACCCGAAAAGCCACCTAATTACAGGAATTGCAGGAAATCGTCAGCGGCTTTGTTCGCCAAAGCTAATGTTAGCAGCTGCCGTGCAGAAAGGTCGCGTGTCCGTGCAGCTGAGCACGGGTTTGTAGCTGCTGTTGTGGCCGCTCGCGGGAACGAGAGCGCCCTCTGACTCCGCCCACTGCATGAGCGCCCGCTGCTTCTCGTTCCAGGCTGAGAAGAAGCACAAGAGCTTCCAGGAGCTTGACCGCTTCATGCATTACTACACGCGCTACAAGAACCATGAACACAGCTACCAGGTCAGTGGTGTCGCTATACCTTTAAGGGGCGTGGCCTCTGCCTCTTTACCTTTAAGGGGCGTGGCCTCTGCCTCTTTACCTTTAAGGGGGACGTTTCCCTTTAAGCCACCATTGACCTGTACGTGATCCGTCCGCAGCTGGAGCAGCGCCTCCTCAAAACAGCCAAAGAGAAGATGGAGCAGCTGAGTAAAGCCTTCAGCGGAAGTGAGTCTCTCAGCGAGCCGCACCCCGTCGCCATCTCGCTTGCCGCGTCTGAGCTCTGTCGCCCTCCCACCTCCCGCCAGGAGAGGGCGCTCCCCCTGACACCACGTTCATTGAAGATGCGGTGCACGAGCTCCTGAAAACCCGGCGCATTCTCAAGTGCTCTTACCCATGCGGCTTCTTTCTGGAACCCAAAAGCACAAAGAAGGAGATCTTTGAACTTATGCAGGTACTGTGACGGCATCTGAATTAATAACCAGGGAGCTCAGTGTGACTGCGTTTGCCTAATCGCCTCATTTCCTGCATCTCTGACAAGCTCCTATTTATCTCCCCCAAAACACGCTCTCTCTCCTCCTCCCCGTCTGCCGCTTTGCAGACGGACCTGGAGATGGTGACAGAAGACCTCGCCCAGAAAGTCAACAGGCCTTACCTCCGCACGCCTCGACATCGGATCATCCGCGCTGCCTGCCTGGTCCAGCAGAAGAGGCAGGAATTCCTGGCCTCCGTGGCCAGAGGCGTGGCCCCCAACGACTCCCCGGAGGCCCCCCGTCGCAGGTGCGGTGCCCCCCCCCCGAGCCGCACCCCTTATTTACAGCCACGTTTGAAGAAACGACATGCTGCAGTTATTACTTTTTATACGTCCTGTGAGTCGTCGTCCCCTCC